AATACTTTATTTACATATTTACTATCAATTATACTTTCTAGGTTTATATCTTTTATTATTATATTTGATAATTGGTACGTTTATATGATTTATAGATATTTTTTATAATATTTATTTATCTTATATAAAAACCAATTATCCTATTATCTTTATATAAATTTAACTACCAATAAAGAATAAAAGAAAATAAAAAGGAAAAATATAATAATAAAACATAACTAATCATAAGAATAGTAAAGGGAATAAAACTAAGAATCAGATAATCATATCTTAAAATATAAAAATGTCTACTAAACCAATAATCTTATAATATAATTCATATATTAACACACATTTTTAGGATACTAAATAAAAATATATGTTTAAACATAAAGAATACACAATAAAGTTAGTATAAAGGAGATAAAATAAGTTTAAGTTATAGTAGAAATAGCAATGTAAGACAGGGAGTAGTCCTATTATTATAAAGATTGTTTGTATATTAACAGTCATGAAGAAAGCTTATATAAAAAGTTAAAAATAATTAATTAGTATTCTAACTATAACAACAAAAACTTAAAGAATAAAAAACAATCAAAATAACATAAAGAGAGAGTTATATATAACCTAACACATAATATAAAAAATGAGAAGATAATGTGAAAATAGAATAATAAATTAACTAATACATAAATAAAATCTGTAATAAAAATAAATAAAAGGTTATTAAATTATATAACTAATTCAATTTAGTACAAACATTATAAATTTGTAGATAAACTAAATTAAATAAAAAGATATAATATTTAATGGATTAAATGAAGGTAAATAAAAGAAAGCAGCCGGTATTAAACTAAAATCATATAAAAATTAAGAAATTTATAATTGAAGGAATAAGGTATTTAATTAATTTTTGGTAATATTATATAAGATCTAAATATTTATATTTTTTATACTTCTTAGAAAAGTTATTACTATTTCAAATAATTATTTAATTCTTATTATTTTGTATATCTACCTTATATTATAATTAATATACTTTTATTTTATTCATTAGAATTTATTCAGCTAAATGCTGAATGATATCTTATTAAAAGATTTAATACTACCTGTATTTCTTTATATGTTCATCAATTAATCCTTTTAATCTGTATACCTAACCTCGATATAATATATTTTTAACCATTTATCCTACATTTTATTATTCTTCCATTACTGGTTTATAACTACAAATACTTTTTGTATTCCATCATAACACTTTTTATTTTTCTTTCTTTTTCTCTGTTTAATTGATTGTTTATAATTTATTTTTCCTATCTTATACCTTTAATACTACTAGTTATTGATATTAGCTTTCTTTACTACTATTTATATCTCTCATTTTTATTACCTTCTTATATTCACTTCTAGGCAGAATAGGATTTGAACCTATGGTGATTACTCACTTTTCGTTTCAAGCGAAATACCTTAAACCACTCAGTCATCTACCCTATTATCTATTATTTATTTACTAACATTATTTCATCTATTATATTATATTTTTACTTATATTTTCTTATTTTTATTCTTATATTTTTATCTTTTATTGTTGATTTACACTATTATTTTTTTTCTCTTATTTTTATTTTTATGATTAAACCTCTTTTTATTATTTACTATTAAAAACACTATCACCATTTGTCATTTAGTATAAATATTTAGCAATTTTATTTTTATATTTAAAGTAAAAGGAATAATGTATGATTATAGTTAAAAAAGATACAATTTGAATATGTAATTTAATTACAGTTTTAGAAAATAGTTAATTGTATACCTACTCATCAATTATAAATTAGGTTTTATGTTTATAAGATGTATATTTTATCTTTTACTTAGACATCCTTCTATATTTCCTTATTTCTCTATTTATTATTTATCCTTATATATTTTATATCTATATCCCGTTCATTAAATATTATAAATTGTTCTTCTAAACCTAAAAATTGTAATATTGTACCTAAATCTTGTGATAAACTAATTGTTAATCCTTTAGCATTTGTTAAAATTTATCTCTTTAATGGTTCTTATAATTTAATTATATTAATATTTACGCTCTGATACCGTTAACCTACTGCTCAATTAATAAATCATTTAGTATACTTATTATATTTAATAATAGCAAAATACGATCATTATGTTAGCTCCATAATCATTTATCTATACGTATAACAATATTATAATAATAGATAACTCCCTATAATCGCTGTATCTATTATTAAATATACCTTAAATTATTATACCATTAACCTTTATTATCACTTGTATGTTTAACTATATATTATCCATGATCGATTAATCATGGTAAGTTCAGTTATAAAACAGTCGTGGCTTTACCATTTGTATATAGACCTAATTTTATTTAAATCATATTAAATTAAACGTATAAACTTACTTTATTTATACTATAGAATTAGTAAAATTAATCTAATAATAAAGTTAGCATTATTATTCAACTTAAACCAAATATTTAACCTTAATATTTTTAAATATATGTGTTAAAGATGACTAGATTAAGGAGTTAAAATATTCTATATTGAAAATTATTTTAATTACAGATGAATAGATTAGCAAGAATTATTTAATAATTGAAATATAGTTTATAACTGATAGTTTAACTCTACTACATTTACCCATAAGATTTATAGTAGTTAATAGAAATAATTATTGTAGGATATTTTCTAGGTAATCTACTTAAAATTAAATTATAGTGGAAGACAAAGTAAGAATTATATAAGGATATATCGCTAGAAAATAAATCAATGTGTTAATTAAAATATATATTAGATTATTGATAATATTTAAATTTAGGTAGATAAAATGTAGAATAGAATTATTAATCTACAGTTGATTTTAACTCTTTATTAACATTATACTGTTCATTGCTATACTAATTTAATCAATTACATAAAATTATATCAAAAAGATTATAATAATAATATTTATAATAGTTATTATAGGAATTTATAAAAATATATATAGTAAATATAATTGACTTATTATATAAATAATTTCCCATTAAATATTTAAACACATACAACTAAATTTATTATAAATGTAAACATTAAATGAATTATACATCAAATAACATATAAACCTACAAACTATTTATCCTTATATAACCTATTATTTATATACATTTAATACATCATTATTTATTACCTATCCTTTATTAACATTATTATAACATAATTAATTTAATTATTATTTACCATTAATATCTTTAATACTAACATAAATCCTTTATATTATCAATAATTAGTTAAAACCATTCTAGATTTTATATTATTTTTATAACAACTATTATTATTTTAATTGTTTGTAATGTTTCAATTATATTTCCTTTGTTAATTATTCCTATAACTAAATTTAAAGTTAGTAAATAAATTAAGATGTTAAGTTATAAATAGAATATAAATCCTACTAATAATAGTAAGAATAATTTCATTATAAATAGATTAAGTAATAATATGAATAAATAATTATATATAAAGAATCAAAGAATCATAAAAACAGGCAAATGAAAATAATATTAATTTAATAGATAATAAGAATAGAATAAATAGAAAAATAATTTTAATATAATGTATCAATAAGAGAATTATATTAAAAAGTAAAATAAACTATACTATCTAATAGTACATAAATAGAAATAGAAATTATAAACAAGGTTACAATATATAAAGTAACTTACTATTAATAATAATACATATACATTCTAAATTATACAACTAATTTCATCTACTTATAGCCTTCTATGAATATAACAATCTTTTATAACTATATTTACATTTTTACTATTTTTTATCAACTATAATTTATAAACCGTACAGGTAATATCTAATATTTAACCTTATTAAAATTATAATATTTATCTTGTAGTTGTACATTATTTATCATTAACTATTTGTTTTACAGTTGAAGTATACCTTTCTTCATAGATACTCAATATTTATCTATTTATTCTATTCTTACTAAATACCCCTTAATTCTTACTATTTTTCTTAATGATTTCACAAATAATTTTGACTAAATAAAGATAATTAAATTAATCAATCATAAGGTTAACTACTATAAAAAGTTTATATCTATTTAAATAAATATAAGTAAGGAGAGGTTAGTTATACAAACTATTTTTACAGAAAAAGTAAAATATAATTAAGTTTTAATTTATAACCTTATAATGCTAATATATATGATTTTTCATCTGTACTGGTGATATTATTTTATAAACTGTAGTATATTCTTTTTTAGTATAAATAAAAAAATATTATAACTATATATTTTATATAAGTAATATAATGTAATAATAGTTTATATATAAAGTATCAAATATAAATTATTATTAATTATCTGACCTTAATATTAAGTACCTTTATAGACGTATTATATTATAAATTTTACTATATAAAGATAATATAATTAAAAATGTTTGTAAGTTATTATGAATATATTTTTATACCTTCATTTCATTCTAAGTATAATTTATACTAACTTTCTATTTATATTTATCGCTATAATTATAACTCTAAATCACTAATAATTTTTTGTGTTTTTATTAAATCGATTTTCTTTATTTCTCTATATAAAATTTTATCTTACTTTTCCAATCATTTTAATATCTAATTATATATAATAAATTCAAGAAATATACCTACAGTTCTATTTAATTAACAATATAAATATTTTCATGAAATGCATCATAATCATAATATATAACTTCCATTACAAAATAAGATCTATTTTAGATTAAATATCTGCACATTTATAGATTATAATAGCTTTGTTATTGAGTGTAATTATAAAATACTAAAATTTTTTATTATCGTTATTCATGATTTTATCTAACATTAATATTTACTAGCTATAAAAACCTTAACTTTACTTCTTATACATTAATTATTACTTTATATATTATATGCTTTTTATTACTTTTATTCTCTCTTTTATTAACTTGTTCTTTTACTTCCTTCAACTTAATTTATTATAATTTGTTTTCTTTTTTATCTTATATAATTTATTCTTAATCTTCTATCCAC